GTTTTCTAAGAGCGAAAAACCGAAGGCGCGGGATTTTCTTGTTAATGGACCGAGATATCTTGACATATATTATAGTTTTAAGTTCTTAATTCATATTTTAGTCTATATATCTAGTCCAAGGGTATGACAACAAAAGAGATTAAAAATAAAAGCAGGATTAAACAAAAAAAACAACGGAGCAGAACTGATATTTTGAATAAAATCATACTTCAAAGAGGAATAATAACAATTAGACAGAAAATCAAGCCATCAATAATAATCTGTTGGCGTAATTTTAGCCTGGATTTGATAACCAGCGATTAGCTCTCTCCTCAAATCCTCTTTGTTTTTGTTGTTACTTTTTTTGGAGTTTTCCCCCAACTGCCTCCATTAATAAAGTAACTAATTCCTCCCTTTACCAATTATTACTTTTTTTCCACTTCCGAAAAAAATAACAACTTGACCATTCCGTAAATTCCTCAAATTATTAAGGTAGTAATAATCGCAACTGATAAGATTTTATCATTGTTTTTTTGTTCTTGCAAGTTTTGAATTTCTCTTTTTAGTTTTGCTATCTCACTATTGTTAAGTTGGAGTTGCCCGGACAAAATTTTGTTTCGTTGTTCAATTTCTGCCAATTCATCTTTTTCTTTTTTGTCTTTATTTTCCTTAACCGGTTTTGGGGAAGTATTTTTTGGCTTGATTTTTAGCAAGAAGTTTTTTTCAATGATTTCAATTTCTTCCCGCGAAAGAGCGGTATTTATTTTCCCCTCGTAATCAAGGTACTCCTTTTCAGCAAATTGTCCTCTAACTTGCCGTAGTACCAGCAAAGAATTAAGCTTAATGGCTTTTAACTCGGATTGGCTGTTTTTTTCTCCTTTCAATTTTTCCAATTCTTTGCGTAAAATTTCCAACTCTTTTTTCTCGCTTTTATTTTCTGGGTTATCTTCCAAATCAACATTAAAAAAATCAGCGGAGATAATTTGACTAACTAATTCAGAATTAATGCTTATTTTGCTTTCTAATTTTCCTTGACTTACTTCTTGAGCTCACTGCAAAAGACAATAATCAAAAATGCTATCAAGTGCTGATTTTAACTGCCGAACACCTTTTTCTTTGGTTTTGTGGATTAAAGTTTCCAGTGCTTTGGAAGTAATTTCAAAATTATTTTGGTTAAGGCTTGGATTTTGAGCAAATCACCCTTCAATAAATTTGTTAGCGATTTCTTTCTTTTGGTCAATGTTATATCCAGATAAATTGATAATCGCTGGCGTTTTTGAGAACAAGTAATCGGGGATTTTATTCAAATCATTAGCTGTAACTACGAAAGTTACTTTTGAAAAATCCAATTTAACGTCAAGATAATGATCCAGAACTTCTTGGTTTTGCACCGAATCTAAAACACTATTTAAACAACCATGAATAGCAGATCCCGCTTTATAAGAACCAACTTTATCAATTTCATCGAGCAAAATGAGGGGGTTATGGGATTTTGTTTCTGCTAATGCTTTGGCTAATTGTCCCATTTCAGTCCCCGACGAACTCTCATTGGCTCCTACCAACAATGAATTATCTGATGCGCCCCCCAGCGCCACTAAAAAGAATTTTTTCTTTAAAGCTCGAGCCAAGAGCTGAGCGAAGGTGGTTTTGCCTACTCCGGGAGGCCCAATCAGACATAAAATTTGCGGATGCTGCTGAATATTGCGTTGTTCACAATAACCTTTAATTCTCAAACTGTTCAAAATCCTTCTTTTTTGCTCTTCAAATCCTACTTGTTGACTAAGAATTTTTTCGGCCTCTGACAAATTAACCGGAGCAGAAGTTGACTGATAAGCGGCAATTAATTCTTCAACCTTTTTAATTTTGTATTCCAATGTTTCTCGACGGTTACTTCCGCCGTGGTATAAATTATTTAATCTTACTTCTAACTCAGTTTTTTTCGCATTTAATCGATTAATAACCGTCATTTATAATTTTATTTTTCTATTTTTGTTATCTTATAGTTAAGAACAGCAGCCACATTTGCTTAAAAACATAAAAGCAGTAAGGTCCATACCATATTTATCCTCAAAAAAAACTCGAAAACCGGTTAGGGAGTCTATTTGATGACTTTTTATTTAGTAAAATTGTAATCACGGAAAAGCATGAATATTTCTTTTCAATTTTTACCTTGGGCTTATTCTTATCTTTTTTAAATACAACATAATTTAGGCATCATTTCTGTCTTCATCACGATAAATTTCTTTCCTTTCTTCTTCGGCACCACCGCATTTTTTACAATTCATAATAAGTTTTTAAAACGGTGAATTAAGTGATAAGCGAATAATTGTCTAATTGGGAGAGGAGTATCAGAATTTCAGGACTGATTAACATTCTTCAATATCAAAAGCAATCTTTCAGGCTTGCTTAAATTTTTCCTTTACCTCTTTGCTTACTACTCCTAATCATTGTTTTCCTATTAAGCGCAGTTCTTTATCAATAGTCATGGGGAAAATAAACTGAACTTTACTGGGCTTGTCTAAACCTGTTTCGGGAGTATTTTTCAAGTAAACTTCAAAGAGTTCAATTTTTTTAACATTCTCAGTAGTAATTGGAACTACCGCTATTAGGTCATTAAACTCGTTTTGAATATCACCACTAATCACCAAGCAGGGGCGAAAAGTCTTAGGTGTTTCTTTGGTTTTTTGAATTTCACTAATCAGATTTCTCCTCTTTTTGGTATTTTACTAGTTTTTTCCATTACCTTTGTTAATGTAGTCGTCAACCGTTTCGTCTCAAACTGCCAACTCTTTCTTTAACTTCTGGTTTTTGGCTGTTCTTTGATGAGCGAGGATTAGTTGCTGTCTCAATTGTTCTTTTTTTTTCTGTTTCTCCTTTTCTAACCCCTTCAATTCTTTTTCGACCGCTTGATTAACAAAAGAACTTATTTTCCCAATTCCGACTCTTTGCCTTAGGTCTTGATAAGTATTTTCTTTAATAGCAATGCTTAATGTTCTAGTCATAATAATTACTAATTATTGTGTTATATTAATTGTTTTAGCATTATTCAATATATTTGGCTAATTTTGCTTTATTTTTTTGAAAGGCAGGACGATGTGTTTTCAATTGACTAATTCCACCATAAAAGGGAGATTGGATTACTCAAATTCTTCTCGCAGTTCACAAATAACTCTGCTCGGAATATTATCATAATAACAAAGGTCTAAATCTGACAACTTTCAAGCATTACCTTTTACTCGGGAACCATAAGCATACTTAGTATCTGCTGAATTATTTGTCAATGTCTTTTCTCTAATTGCAGCATAACACTAAAGTTTTTTCAAATTTTAATTAGTATATCAAGGTTTTTTAAGAATTGGGGCAAGCTAGGATAAACTTCTTCCATTGTTTTCTCATAATACTCATGAACAGTAATATTTCTTTTGTCGACATAGTCAAATCAAGGTTCTGCATCAGGGATTAGCCCCTCCAAACCAGCTACCGAAAAACTTCTTTGGCCGTATAAACATGAGTTCCGCGCAAACTAAGTATTTTTCGACAAGTTTTATAAGCCAATTCGTAACTATCTTCAAAGGCCTGAATAGTGCCGGCAATTTCCAACTCGCTTTGGGCTTCTTGCAGTGCTTTTTTGAGAAAACTACGAGCCGTTATTAAATGTTCAATATCTAATTTATTATCCAGAATGTATTTAGGCATAATATATAAATAGGTTCGCTATTTTAAAAAATTAAATACTTCTTTTAATTCATTAAGTTTGGCAGAATCATTTTTTTTCAAGTTATCGAGGGCTTCTTTAACTCTGCTGATAATATTGTATTCTTTATTCTTTTCTATTTTCTCTCCAAACAGAAATGTTTCAACATCAGAGTGAAATCAACTAATTCTAGGGTTTATTTCTTTTTCTATTAATTTTACAAAATCAATAATTTCCCTTTTCTTTTCTAATTTTTTTATATGTTCTCGTCAATTAGTACTGTCCAATCACAAATTAGAGTCTAACTCAGTAGACTTAAGTTTATTTTTTTTTAAGCATTGAGATATTTGCTCAATTACATTTTTCTTAACTTCTTTTATGTCAGCACTTTTTGTTGTTCCTGAGATATCGATGACTAATTTATCACTATGGAGAATTTCTCCTTTTTTATTTTTAACTTTCCCCTCCCCATATTTTTTCCAAAATTTTTCATGCCTGTTGCTCTCAACCTTATTTTTTAGATTTTCTTTTTTGTCTAAATTTCGATCATCATCTAATAAAAATCAATAATTCAAATTTAACTCTTTAGCTAGTTCGTTGAAGAAAATATAATGTCATTTACCAAAAATAGGAATTACTTCAATCTCTTTTAATTCCTCATATAATTCCTTTCTCAAAATGTTGTTGAACAAAATGTAATCTGACATTCCTTCCACAAAAAGTACTTTCTTACCGAAAAAAATTCTTAAAGTTTCTTTATTGAATAATCTTTTTCATTTGCTTGAATAAAAGCTAGGGGAATTGACGTTTTCTCTTTTCTTGTCAGCAAATTCTTCATAACCTTTTTTTATTTTTTTCTCAATAATCCCTACATTACCTTTAACGTCAGAATCAATAATCTCTTTTATGATTTTCTGAAAGTACAAAGGTTTTTTCAAATTGAAATTATTTTCATCCCTTTGGGCCATAATTAAATCAACATTATTTTCTTCGCCAAATAAATCTTCAATAAAATGTCCTAAAAGGTCTGGTGAATGGGTAGTGAAAATTACTGTAGCGTCATTCTTGGCGGCTCTTTTAATCAAACTTGCTAGATCAGCAATTAAGGAAGGATGGAGGAACAATTCAGGCTCGTCAATTAGCAAAATTGTTGATTTAACTTCAGTCGGGAAACATGGTCTTGGGATGCCGCTTCTATTAATCTTATATCCGACATCTATATCCTCCACCAGAGATTCTAAGGTCTTGTATTTTAAATAGCCTGATCCCATTTTATTTAGAGAATGACAAATATCTTCATTAAATCCTCTATAGGTGACAAGTCCGGCTTCTTCGTGCCTAATAAAGCCATCTTCAGGACCATAATCTGGAACTCATGAACTAATTTCGCTCGGTTCCCCTTTGTTAGCTTCTCTTATAAAATGATCATGGTTGAATCCTTCTTCATTTTCTTTTCCGTAAAGCAACTCGTAGTTACGAGTTTTTACTTTTTCAATTTTAAATCCTTCCTTTTTAGACAAAAATGAGGTGCTGGTTGCTAAATCGAAGTAGTATATTTTGTAAAATAAAATAATACTTCCCTCAGTTTCTCTTTTTTTATAAGCGGGGTTTAAATGGTGAAATATAGTTTTGATGGTGAGTGGAGGAGGTGGAGGAACTGACCTTAAACGAAGACTCGGATAACTCGAATACTGAATAAATGATGAATCTGGAGAAAATAAGTCTAGCAAAGATGAACTCTTTCGGCACTCAGGTAATCTTTGGTCTATCCCTTGAAAAAATTTGGTTTTATAATCACTTGTTTCAAACTGATCTCATTTCTCATTTTCATCATATATATAGTCCAATAAATTTGTTTTGCCAACATTGTTTTCTCCAACAATTATCGTTATACCTCCTTTTATAAACTCAAATCCAATATTTTTTAAATTGCGAAAGTCTTTTATTTTTTTCCTTACCTTTCACTTACTTCTATCTTTCATAAAAAATAATTATTGTAGTTATAATAACATTTTTAAGGTTCTGATTTGAATACAGAAAATTTCCCAAATTGCAAAGAAACATGCACTAGTTAAAATCTCTCACGTGCTTAAACTCTACAAGTCTCTTTCAACATATTCCAATTTTCATGTGCTTTTATCATATCTCCCTTAGTTAATATACAAAAATCTTCGCTTTTCATTTTTTCTGGCTTCTTCCCACATTTTATCTTCCTTATTAGGAGTTTTGTCAGCATCTCTTTTATATCCAGTAATTAGTTTTTTTTCAAATGCTTTCTGCTCTCTTTTTAATTTATTATCATACGCACCTAATTCCTTAGCAATAGCCTTCTCCACAAATCCACTAATTTTGCGACTACCGATTTCTTCTTTTAGCCGTTGATACAAATGAGGATTAATAGTAACACTTAAAGTTGTCCTTATTCTTTGGTTTACCATAATACATAATTTTATACAATGGACCAATGTAGAAGTATAGACCACTTTTAATTCTCCATAAACTTTCTTCTATTGATTTTTGTTCTTTCTTTAGGTTAACTTTTGTTTTTTCTTTTAAGTCCATAAATAATGCTTCAACCCCCTTTCCGTAAATTTACTAACGGTTTATCTGAATTTGCTGAACCATTAAATATTGTTGGTACTCATTTTGTAATTCCTTGGTCTCTCCGCAGTTTAATATTCACTCAGCTTCAACCTTTTTGACATCTCTTAGCCAAGCACAAAAATCGGCATCAGTAATTTTCATCCCAATATCTATTCATTCTTTAATTTCCTGATAATCAAAACTATGTCTCTGCCATTCTTGAACTAATTCCGGAGTGAAATCAGGTCTGATATTTTTTCAAATTCTATCATTGGGGTCAATAACTTCCTCATTTTTTCTTTTAAGAGATAATTCTTCAATACCAATATTTTTTTCTATTTCTTTGTTATAATTTTCTCTCAGTTTGTTTAATTTGCTGCTTTCTAGTTCACTAATTATGAGATCCATATCCCCTATATAAAGAGCAAATTCGGCATCTTGGGGACTGAAACCATAAATTTTAATCCATTCTTCAACCTGTTCGTGAACGAAACCAAGTCCTTCTCATTCTTTTTGTAGTTCTTCGGTAAAATCCGGATGAATATCTGTTCAGTTAGTCATAGTTATTTTTTAGACAATTGAATACTTCCAATTATAATTGAGTTTTAATCTTTTTTGTTTTTAAAGAGCATCCTTTTATTAACCCCCGATTGTTTGGTAATGCTAAAAAATAAAAAAATAGTTTGATGTTGCTTGTTTTGACAAAAAATTAAATAAGAATGGAATTTCTCCAAGAACTAAACGAACAACAAAAACAAGCGGTTTATGAAGAACACCCTCGAATATGTGTTATTGCTGGACCGGGTTGTGGCAAAACTAAAACCCTAGTTAGCCGACTTATTTATTTATTATCTAGTCAAAAAGCCCAACCCCAAAATATACTGGTTTTAACTTTTGCTAAAAAGGCCATTAAAGAAATAAAAAAGCGGGTTTTTTCTCATATTACCACCGTTTCTCCCAAGGATGTGCATATTTATAACTTTCATTCTTTTTGTTTTCATGTTCTTAATAAATATTCTCATTTGTTAGGTTTTCCCGATAGTAAATTTCCGGTTTATGACCGTCATGAGCAAGAAACAATAATCCGCAAAATACTTTATCAGAATAATTATAATGCGGAAAAAAAAGAAATAAATACCATTCTGGCTTATATTAGTGGCTGAAAAAATGGCAAACTTGATACCGACCCTTTAAAATTTGATGAATTAACCAAAACGAGGTATGAAATATATCAAAAATATGAAGAATACTTAAAAACTAATAAGGCGCTGGATTTTAATGATTTGCTCCTCTATACTATCACTCTTTTTAACTATCACCCGCAAGTTCGCAAAGAATATCAAGCACAGTTTACTCATATTCTCCTTGATGAATTTCAAGACATTAATTCTATTCAATGGGAAGTAATTCAATTAATTTTGAGTAATAAACAGAACGTTTTTTTGGTGGGCGACCCCAATCAAGCTATTTATGGCTTCCAAGGTGCCACTCCGGAATTAATTTCCTCTTTTGCCAAAAATAAGGAATGAAAAACTATCTACCTGAATACCAATTATCGCTCAACTAGCAATATACTCCATTTATCTAATTCCTTTGTCCAAAAAAATCAGTCCATTTTAGTTAATAATTTGCTCAATACTTCCAAGTCAGCAGGAATAAAAGCAAATTTTTTTACTCGCTTGTCAATTCGTTCTATCGTTCGACAAATTCGCTGATTACTGGTGCGAGAAAAAATCCAGTTTAATGATATTGCTATTCTCTACCGTAATAATTATCTTTCTACCCGCCTTGAACAAGAATTAGTCGCCCAAAGAATACCCTACGAAATATTAGGCTCCTTCAAATTTATCGAACGGGAGGAAATCAAAGATGTTTTGTCTTTTTTACGAGCAATTATGTACCAGGATAACCTTTCACTATTACGGGTATTATCATTACAGGAAAAAATTGGAGCGCGCACGATTGAAAAAATTGAGCAAAATAGTGAAAAAGAAGGAATAAGCATTTACGAATATCTTAATAATTTTGCTGCCATCACCAATTTGAGTGAAGAAAAAATCGTGGCCGGGCAAGTAGAGAAAATTAGTTCCGTTATTATAAAAATTAATAAATGACGAGAGAAATTGGAACAAAAAGTCTCTCTCGGCACCTTTCTTTTAAGTGTGCTTAACGATTTTAATTATTGAGAGCATTTAAAAACCCGCGTTAACTCTTCCGAAAGAGAAAAAAATGTCCAACAATTTCTTAATATTGCCCAAAATTGGGAAAATAAGCGCAAAAAAGATTATTTAGATTTAAACGAATTGCTCAATTCTTTCTTGCAATGAATTATTATCGCTTTTGAGGACAAGAAATTAATTAAAACTCGCAATAATTTAATACTTTCCTCGGTCCACCAAGCCAAAGGATTAGAATTTGAAGTAGTATTTTTTGTTTATTTAGATCAAGGAACCATTCCTTACAAAGAAACCCAAGACCTGACCGAGGAAAAAAGGTTATTTTATGTCGGAATAACACGTGCTAAAAGGTTACTTTATTTAGTCAGTAGTCAAGAATTATACTCACCTTTTTTGGATGAAATCGACAAGGATTATTTGCTGAGAAGCTAAAACTAAACTTTCTCCTTCCAATAAAAGCATAATACTTTTAATGATATCAAATTATTTACAGATAGAGAGCTTCCGATTATATTCAAATAAAAACACCAACCTTGGTGGTATTAATAATACTATTGAAGCAATACTTTGTTGTAAAAAAAAGGAATGAAAGTTTGTCTTGGTGGCACACAGCTAATGAAACCGACCAATCTTCTCGTATAACTTCACATATTGTTCTGTTTCTTGCATGTAATCCTGATTTTCTATTATCTAAACCTGGTCTGGAGGAAATGAAGGTATCATGATATTAGGCAACGAAATGTCTCGCGCGCTTACAATAATATAATAAGTTAATTAATTAAAAATAAAATTATTGTTCCGAACATAATTACTCGTTCTTAAATTTACTTAAAACCCAACCTACTGAAATTATTACTAAAATAATCCCTCCGGTATAAAAAAGAGGGGTTTTGATAGTTTGTCAAAAAGAAGAAGACTGAGTTACTTCTTGGACCAGGACTGGTTTTTTACTGAGGGCTTGAATTTTTTGAGCTAATTTTTCTTTACTCGGTTTGGTTTGAGATAATTCACTTTTTAGTTGCTTTATTGTGTTATTCAATCAGAAGGTGAAGTTTTCTTTCCTTAGCCAGTTTTTGCAGTTTTTTGAAGCTTTCTTGTTTTAACCGACGAGCAACATTTTCTGACTTACCGAGGATTTTACTTAACTCGGAAAATCTATAACTTTTTATGAATAATGATAAATAATTTTTCACCAGTGGTAGACCGTGGACCTTTTTTTCTTCACAAGAGTATTTTTGGAGTAATTCGGGATTGGATTTATCGGCCAACTTCATTTTTTTCTTTAATTCTCTTTTTTCTTCTTCGGTCGCCAAGAAATAAATGTCTAGTAAATTAGAAGGTTTTATCTTATAGAGTAAGCGAACTAACAAAATCATTTCCTGATTTCCTAAGGCATTAATTAGGTTATTGGTCTGAATTATAGTATCTTGGTGACGAACCTGATTAGCGGTCAATTCAGCATTTTCATCGTCATGCAAGGTCTCTAATAGCGAATAGGATTTACTCTCTTTATCCTCATTTTGATAATTACTGTCATAATAAATTACACTTTTTTTTTCTTGTGCTCCGGAACCCTGATTAATAAGTTGACTTTTGTTGATATAACTTTGGATATATTGTTTAATTCAGTAACCAGCATAAGTAGCAAAGCGATTTTTACTATTCAAGTCAAATTTTTCAATAGCTTTTGGTAAAGAAGAAATTCCTTCCGCCGTCAATTCTTCGTGGTCAATTTTTCTGTTAAAAGAAGAATAACCCTTAACAATATACTTGACTAGATTTTGATTATAATGAAGGAGAAAGCGAATAGCTTTCTTGCCTTCGGTGATTTTTTCCTCGCCCAATTTTTCTAATTCCTTTTCCTTTTTTTTTAATTCAGTTTTCAGTTTTTCAATCTCTCCTGGTACTGTCTTCTTACTTTTTATTTTCTTTTCCTTTTCTGAGATTTCCTTTTGTAGACTACTGATGGCAGAGAAAATTGTTACTACTGGTTTGGCTGCTTTTAACAGTTCCTTTTCCTTTTTTGGTTTGAGAGTAAAAATTTTATTCATAATTTAATAAAAACCTCTTAACATTTTCTAATTCTAGTATTACCGTATCAATAATTTTCCCTCATTGGCTGTTAGAAGAGGAAGTAGTAAAATTCGTGTCATAGTTTTCAACAAATCCTTTTGCAAGATAGTTTTCTGGATAAAAATTATTAGAGTGGGAGGACATATAATAATTATAGATATAATGATACCTTGCTTGATTGACTTTGGTAAAAAAAAAACGAACTTTTTCACTAATAAATAGTCAAAAAGTTCGTTCCTTGGTACATAAGTAGATTATTTTTTTTTCTTTTTTCTCAATTAGCTCTTGGCAATAAATAAACTGTAAATAACGAATATTAAAAGTTGGAAAATTTCATTGGATAAAATGGGGTTCGATTTCTTCTTTTTTTCAGCCAGTTAGGAAGTTTATTTTAGTGATTAGAAAATCATAGATATTGGATTTGAACTTCCGAAAAATGTTGGCTACTTCGTTAATAAAACGGTTTGTTCTTTGCGGATTGTCCCGGACTTCTCATTTGACAAAATAATAGTTAAGAATAAATAAGTAGGGATTTTCTCGACTTTGTAGTATAGTTTGAATACTTTCTTTATCCGATTGCCGGCAAATTTCGTCGGGGTCGCCCAGATAATTATTTTTTATTATTTCGCAATCAATCTCCCGCAATAGTAGTTTCACGGTCACATTAATGGTGGCTTCCTGCCCTGCTCTATCACTATCTAAAAAGAGAATAATTCGTTTTTTTAAATCAGTTAAAAGCTTGACTTGTTCTTCAGATAAATTAGTTCCCAACAAAGCCAGGCAATTTTCCACTCCTAATTTGGTCAAGCTAATGACATCAAAAAAACCTTCTACTAAATAACATTCTTCTTTCCGAGTTTTTTTTACTGCCGCATAATTGTATATTAAGGAGGATTTTTGATAATGTTGATAACTAGGTAAGTATTTGTATTTTCCTTCTCCCGGCGTTATTTCACCAACTTTTCGAGCTGCCAAAGCCACGAGTTTTCCCTCCGGATTGGCTAAGGGTATGATTAAGTGCTGAGCTGGGAAGAAATCACAGATTCGGTTATTTTCAGTTATTCAAACCAGATTAGTGGCTAATAAATCTTCGGAAGAAAAATTATCATTTTTCTGGGAGAAAAGTAAATTGCTTAATTGTCAATTATTAATGCTACATCCCAAACCAAAACGGTCGATCATTACTTTATCCATTTGTCTTTCGTTATAGAGATATTTCAATACTTCCCGGCCCGATTGGGTAAGTAAATTATGTCGATAAATATCAGTTATTAGTGAAAGTAAATAAAAATTCTTATTTTTTTCTTTTGTTTCTTGTTTTTTTCTCTCCTGTAAAATTGATAAAGAAAAATAACCCATTTGACCAATTTCCTCTACTGCTTCTTCTAGGTTGATTTTTTTATACTGGGCTCAAAAGTTAAATATATCACTGGCCTTAAATCCACAAGTAAAGCAAGTAAATATTTTCCGATTAGGTTCAAAACTACAACTAGGATTTTTGTCCTGATGAAAGGGGCAAAGGAAAAAAACACTTCTCCCCTTTTGTTTCAGGATAAAGTTTAACTTATTGGTTAGCAAACGAAGAATATCATTAGTATTTAATAAATCCTTGTATCCCATTAATAAATTTTATAAGTTATGCGCAGCAAAGATCAAAGGCGAAAAAAATTGTGACTGTAAGGAGAAATTAGTATTTCGTGATAGTCTGACGATAAAATTATATCGACAATAAATGATAGTGGCAAACAATAATACTGCAATGCCAATAATTATTTGTAGTAATTTAAAAACTATCGAAAAATGGCTATATTTCTTTTAGAACCTTTCGCTGAAAGACTAGTTGGGGCAGACCGTTTTTGTTTTTTTATGATATTTTTTGGGCAATGATTTTTACGCCTTTTTTGCTAACTTCTTTTCTTTCTCCTTAAAAGGAAATCCTAATAGGTTTAGAAAATAACCATTTTCTTCTGTCAAAGAAGACTTGAAAACAATTGTAACTTGAACTCCTTGATTTTTGAAAGTTAAATCATAAGGAACTGTCGAAAAAATGTTTAAGTCATTTATCCCCAAGTTATAATTTCCTTTTTGGTCGAACTTTTTCACGGAAAAACCTTGAAAATTAGTAATCAAAGGTAGGTTTATATTAATTAATTCGAAAAGAAAATCTCAAGCCCTCTTTTTTCTTAACGTTACTTTACAACCAATTGGCATTCCCTCCCGTAATTTGAAGCCAGTAATCGATTTGCGGGCATAAGTAACAACTGGCTTTTGCCCATGAGCGATCTGAATAAGCACCTTTTCGGTATTATCTAACAATTGTTTGTTATTAACTGCTTGACTGACACCACTATTGAGAACTATTTTCTCAATATCTGTGGTTTGCATTGGTGAAGAATGTTGAAATTTTTCTCCCACTGTTTTTTTGATTTCTTTTCTTTTGGTTTCTCACCAGTTATTTTCGATAAGCATATGTTTCACTTCTTATATTTAGTCAATTAATAAATTATTACCTTTTTTATCCTTAAATTTCCGAACTATCCGTATTTTCTTTCCCTCCTTTTCTTGAAAGCCAATTTTGGTAATTTTCTTTTTATTCTCCAATCAATAAGCCACATTAGAAATATGAAGAGGTGTCATTATTTCCTTCAATTCACTC